ATATAAACCTGTACACACACACACACACACACACACACACACACACACACACACACACACACACACACACACGTTTCAGATATATTTGCTGTACATGATTTTAAACTTTGCAAGCTTGTCTGGGGGATCTGTAATTATTTCATTACGTTACATTACATCTTTCTTTTACATATCTATAAATGTGGAGTTAATTACGAAGTAAAGAGAACTAGAAAACAAACTAATTAACAATTGCTCAGTAATGTTGAGAAATTGTTTATATTTGACATTTGTCTAATAAAGGATCTGTAAACTACCTGAAAACCAGCAACCACCACATCGTATCTATCAAAGTAACTTCGACACGATTTGACAGCAGCTTCTAAAAGCATCAACTGTCCCGGTATCTGCTCAATATATAAATATTTAACGTTCAACGACACACACAAGTACAAACATTTACCGTGTTCATGTTTCCCGCACCACCGCATGCTCTTCTTCTTCACTAGTTTGTATGGCGCATAACATACCGTTGGTTTATAGCACCACCTACGGTGCTTAGTGCAATCAGCATGGCCAAATTATTCTCATAAAAATAAAATAATAATAATATTACTTCAGAGAGTAAAATTTCCTTCTTTAATATCAGTTTAACTTTCAAACTATTTTATCATGTTTTTAAAATCAAAGAAGTCAAATACCTGAAAAGTTTTCCTTAACTTGTTAAATTGACAGATGGAATCAAGAGACAATTCTTTTCTTAAACTGATGCACAAATTGTAAAGTAACCTGTTTATTCTACGTTACATTACGTATGATGTCTTTAGTATCTTTCTTTTACATATCTATAAATGTGGAGTTAATTACGAAGTAAAGAGAACTAGAAAACAAACTAATTAACAATTGCTCAGTAATGTTGAGAAATTGTTTATATTTGACATTTGTCTAATAAAGGATCTGTAAACTACCTGAAAACCAGCCACCACCACATCGTATCTATCAAAGTAACTTCGACACGATTTGACAGCAGCTTCTAAAAGCATCAACTGTCCCGGTATCTGCTCAATATATAAATATTTAACGTTCAACGACACACACAAGTACAAACATTTACCGTGTTCATGTTTCCCGCACCACCGCATGCTCTTCTTCTTCACTAGTTTGTATGGCGCATAACATACCGTTGGTTTATAGCACCACCTACGGTGCTTAGTGCAATCAGCATGGCCAAATTATTCTCATAAAAATAAAATAATAATAATATTACTTCAGAGAGTAAAATTTCCTTCTTTAATATCAGTTTAACTTTCAAACTATTTTATCATGTTTTTAAAATCAAAGAAGTCAAATACCTGAAAAGTTTTCCTTAACTTGTTAAATTGACAGATGGAATCAAGAGACAATTCTTTTCTTAAACTGATGCACAAATTGTAAAGTAACCTGTTTATTCACATCAGATGTTAAACTGAAGCCTGTTAAATTTGTAACATTTGTAAACCTAAAATTGTACAATTCAGCAGGTGTTGATTTTGTTGTTTTTCAATGCATTAAATTTGGATTAAGTATTGATTTGGACAAATTATTATTATATGACTGTCAACTAAATGCCAAATCATATCAACGAGGAACGGATTTAAATACAATTCAAATAACAAAACCTGTTTTGATGCACTAGAAAAATATGTTTATTTTGAAATGAACCATAAAAACACGTTTCAACCACGTTTTTAACATGTAAACAACTTTTTTGAACACATTTTCACAACAAACGTCGAAACACAGACGTACAGTGTTGACAGAGTCCACTGATTCACGCGTCGCCGGTCTCCGGTGCGTTTCTCCGCGGACAGTAGTGGCGGGTGTGCGCCCAGTCTCCGGTGGCGGAGCAGAACGGACACACGTAGCTCCTCAGGATCGGGCAGAGGATCCGTCCGTCTCGGGCTTTCAGTCTGTGACTCATGTACACTACCGGCGTCTCTCCGTTTTGTCGGCAGAATCCACAGGAGTCCCGCGGGGTCCGCAGGTCGCGGCTGGAGGAGGCGGAGGTGCTGGAGACGCTGCTGCTGGAGCCGGCTCTCATGAAACCCTCCGCGGGCGTCTCGCGGACATCTGCGGCTTGTGCTCCGTCGCGATGCTCCAGCAGCTGCGACAGGGTCCTGCGGAGGTCCATGTAGTCCCGCCACATCAGGAAACAGCCGTCAGCTGCGGGGATGCTCTTCTCGCGCTCGGCCAGAGAGGAGGACTGCATCATGTCCGGTTTGAGGAAGGTGTGCGTCACCCATCTTCACCCCGAGCTATTTATAGCAGACTCCAGACAGGAATGTGGTCTGTCTGGGGCGATGAACCCCTGGCCCACGCTTGACCGAGGTCGTCGCAAGGTCACAAGGGTCAGGCACGCGCTACTGTTTGTTGAGATCGTGTCGTTTACTGAGCGGCACGTGCTAGACTGAGAGCACGTGAGCGCTGCTGTCTGTCTGTCTGTCTGTCTGTCTCTTGTAAACATTGTAACATTTTCTATTAGACATGCCAACTTTTGCTATTAGAAATAAGCTGCCTGAAACAACCAGTAAACAGCCTCACAAAATGTAAGCAAAGAATTATAAAACAAAACAACCTTTACAAAAACAAATTTATTCAGTTGTGCTATTTGTATACTTCTAAAAAGTAACTAAAAAGAGGTATAATTAAAATTATAGGGTGAATTCAGGTAAACTGCCTTTCCCAGATGTGTTTCTTTTCTTCATTGACTTTCCCCCCTTTTTTAGTTAATATAATGTTATTTGAAAGATATATACCAATAAATATTTTGAGATCATACTCCAGGCTGGAGTATATGATCATCTTTGATTATAAAATCTTTTGATTATCTTTATAATCATCTTTGATTATTAAAAAAAAGATAATGTGTATCTTAATTAGAAATTATAAAAAAAAAACACACAGACACACACACAGGTTTGCTTTTGTGAATTGTGGGGATATTCCATAGGCGTAATGGTTTTATACTGTACAAACTGTATTTTATATTGCCCTACACCAACCCTACACCGAACCCTACCCCTTACATGAAACTTTCTGCATTTTTAGATTTTCAAAACAACTCATTCTGAATGATTTATAAGCCTTTTGAAATACGGGGACACTCAAAATGTCCTCATAAACCACCTTCTCGTTGTAATACCTATGTCATTATACAAATTTGTGTCCTCATATAGATCACAAAAACGTGTGCGCACACACATATATGTATTGTTTATTATCAAACAACAAACAAACATATTCAACAACATATAAAACATATAGCCTACACTAAGAGTAAAATTCAAACACAACTCGTATTTCAAACACAATTTGTACAACTCTTACAACATGTTGCATTGACTTTACACGGAATATTGCTGAAAATGAACTCTACAACATTAAAAATGTGATCATAACATACAAGAACTAGGCTAACTAAAAACTGAATAATAACCTAACTGAGCAACATTTCATTGTGATATTTTACCACGTTTTTTCTGTCTTGTCATGTCTGGTTTCTGTTATCAAAAATGTCAGTTATACATGTTAATTAATGTCAGTTTATTTAGTGAATGAAAAAAATCACATTCCACGTGTTATAAAAACAGCCTTCTTGCATCTTAAGGCCAATTCACACCACGCACTGACAGACTCTGACCAACACCGACAGCTGACAGAATACAGTAGGCTACGTCACTTTTCAGACGGTCCAAGACCCACAAACACAGATTCAACACATTCAATCGTTGAAAACAAGTCAACAGACACCAACAGAGATACACACCTGTCTGACAAAACACGACGAACATGACTGTTGCCGTTTGTCGGCATGGTGTGAATTGGCCTTTAGAAACATTGCCAAGATACGGAACAAGTCATCTGTTTCTGAGGCTGAAAAGCTAGTTAATGCATTCATGACCTCTGGACTGGATTATTGTAATGCACTACTATGTGGTTATCCTGCATCTTCAATAAACAAGCTACAGATCAAAATGCAGCTGCTTGAGTTCCTACATCACCTCAGTTTTAGGGGGGCAGGCCTGGCCTGATGGTTAGAGAGTTGGACTTGTAACCCAAAGGTTGTGGGTTTGAGTCTTGGTACCGGCGGGGATTGTAGGTGGGGGAGTGTATATCCAGCGCTCTCTTCCACCCTCAATACCATGACCGAGGTGAGACCCTGGGCCTTGAGCAAGGCACTGGTGTTTACGGTGTGTCTGTGTGTGCACTTGTATGGGTGAAATGCAGAGCACAAATTCTGAGTATGGGACACCACACGTCACGTCCTCTCCTTTCCTTTATCATCTCTACACTGGCTAGCTGTTAAGTTCAGTATTTATAACAAAGTATTGTAAGGCCCTAAATGTCCCAAGTATTGAAATAGTACACTTACAAGTATGCTACTAGTACTGTACATTGAAATGAACATACTTACTACATCAAGTATACTTGGAAAATATACTTGAACTTTATGTAAGTTTATTTAAAAAAAAATGAACTTCAAGAATACCTATTTTGTAAGGGCAGCAAAATTATTCATAGAATATACTGTATCATCATAAATACATGTGACACCTCTCCCCAAACTGACATTTATATGACAAAATATATACTGTATATCCTTATCCTCGTCTTCATTATATAGTAGACCATTAAGTGTGGTATTATTGTGTTCACTTGTTACCCCATACCCTAAACAAAACATGATATATATTGTAATTTTAGTTTAATGGACTAAATGACTGACAAACATGATTCTAATTCAAGAAGGTTTAGATCTGGATGTTTGAAAGCAGCATACACAACCACTGCTAGAGGAAACACACATTTGTGTAAGTGAACTATTGATTTAAAATCCCTTTTTAGATACAGTCCTCGTGACAACTTCCCCATGTGACAACTAGCCCCTGTGTGTTTAAAGCAAAAGTTTAAGTGCAAGCTATTTGATAATTATTTGAACTAATGAAATCCTTTTTACTAAAATACACCAACACCAAATGTGGTTACTGAGCATTTAATGAGACATTGGATCATGGATGTATAGGGACTTGCTCCCATCGGTGGGGTCAAGCTCTGCCACTGAATGATGGGATCGGACTCGCTCCTTTAATTCATCCCAAAGGTGTGCAGTCGGGTTCAGGTCCAGGTTTTGTGCAGGCCAGTCCAGATCTTTCAGTAAATCATTTCTGTTTGGACCTCACACAGAAGCATAATCATGCTGAAAAAGTTTGATAGCTTTGTGATAAAGCTGTGTATGTAATGTAGCATTGCTTGAGCATGTGGCCATACGGTACCTGGCTTTGTATATGCTTTTCATATGTCATGCTATATCCGTTTGTACACCTATGCATTGATTACTGTGCCTTTTTCTTCTACCCAACAATTCACACCTGTAAAGCCACCCCACATAAGCATATTTAAGATATTTGACTTCAAGCAGACCTTTTAATAAAACAAAAACTTTCTGTGCTCAATGTACTTTTATTTATTTTACTAA